CCAGCAACACGAACACCCATCAAAATTGACAAAATTGAATTCTAGGGTGCAAGTTCGGAAGTTTGCACATCATGCCAGAAAGGCAGGGCTTCCGAAAAACTCCGTGCAGCCTAGAGCTGCTTCACTTTCGCGCTCGCCTCTTCTTGCCACGCGAAGGGAAATTCGCTGGATTTTCGCTGGAGGGGACAAAGATAAAATGCAGCTGAAGATTTCCAGCAATCGCCAGAGAAGCGACCTTCCGCAACAGCCTGTTCAACTGTGAAGATGACCTCCCTTTCGCGGCCGCGCCCAGAAAACTGCAGAGTCAAGCAGAACAACAACTCTTGTCGAGTGGTGCTTGGTGGACCGCAGAAGCCACTTCAAGAAAAGCACGAATGCCTCACCTTCCAGGACGTTGATGTGTGCATGAAATTTGGAGCGAACACTGAAGATGTCGGAAAAGTGCTCAAGCTTCAATTTGTCAGAATCATGGCCAAGTAGCGTCCCCCCCGGCACATCCAGAAAGTATCCGTCTACTAAGTCAACCCCAACACAGGTACCACAGAGCGCGTCGTCAACGTCCTTCTTAAGATTTCGGACTGCGCATCGTGCATCCATAGCTGCATCGAAAGCTCTTGCTGCTTCACAGGTGGCACCAGGGCCAGCGTCGCTGAAAATCATGACATCATCGGTGGCCACCGCAGCAACAAGCTCAAACGATGTAGGTGTCACGCAATCACAAGCCAAGAGAGATGAAGTTGGTATGCCAGCATCTTGACAAACACTCAGCATCTCTTCTTGGGCTATGTAAGAAGACCAAGAAAATCCCATAGGCCAGACGCAGTGCAAAGGATATAGCAAACCTTCGCGCCAAGCATGTCCATCTTCCATGTGCTGCCGCTGATCCGCCACTGACATTCCAGCATTGACAAGTTCCACTGTGGAGATGGGCGGTTTGGCCATGTATCGACGAGAGCTGGGAAGCTTCAACTGGTCAAACCAACACGTAGCATCGCGCTTGCTGAGGCGTAGTGGTCTTCCATCGCTGCACTCCAGAAAGGTCAACGCAGTTGGGGAAGCCAAGTGTCTCGGCTTTGGAGGTGCAGAAGCTGATTCTGAAACACGTCGGCCGTGCCATACCTCCCTCAGGCGTTCACCCCCAGGCTTCCCAACAGCGAAAGTGGTACCACCACCCTTGCAAAAAGTTGCTAAACTCAACTTACCACACCGCAGCTGCTTGACAACCAATTTTGCATATTCGTCTTTCGGGCCCTTAAGGAGAAAGATTCAAAAACACGCAAAGAATCATCGCTGTTGTCAAGGATTCCTTCAGGTGTTGCCAAGCTGGCCCGCACATGGGCTGGCAAGTGGGGCAAAGGATCGCATAAGCCAGCCGCTTGCAAGTTGTCCACCCTGTCAGCAACCAAGTCTTGGAAAGAAGTTGTACCTGCAGTGAAACCTGGCACAAAATCTGGCACAAACCGCTCCCAGCCATCTTGCGCATGTTGCAGGCGTGTGAGTGTCCACACTGTGCGATCCACGATGTTTTTCAAAACTGCTTGTTGAGCGAACGTGTGCTTGCCAGTCGGCACTGTCTGCTTTATGCCGTGCAACCAGTTCAGAATGCCAATGACCACGTTGATGAATTAGAGGAGCACGCTCCACCTGCCACTTGTCATGTCTACAGGCTTCAGCATGCTACCACCAAGCGGGGCCAAGGGAAAAACATCTCGTTGCCGAGTTCTGACCGGCGGCTGCACAGGCAAGGAATTGCAAAGAAATTCACCCAACACTCCAGTTCCAGTTTTGGCGGCAAGGGCGAGACGGTAGAACAACCAAACCTTGTCTGATGGAATGGTGGAATGGCCATCTGCCCTCCATGCCAGCCACAAAGCCCTTCTGCGTCGGGAAGAACAACGGCTGGCAGAAGAACGGCCCTGTTTTCGATCGGAAGCATTCTGACGCGTGGCATGAGCAGAGGCTCTGTGGAAGTCGCGTCTTTTCTTGGATGGTGACATGCAAACTCTTCCCCGATGAACACTTCTTTGCTGGCGGAAACCAAAAAAACTCCAGCGAGGAGATCCAACGAGAGAGGAGCTTGATCACTGCCCACCCATGCCGGACGGACCGACACAGACACCGCACGAAGCGACCCTGATTTCTGACTGGAGCCCATTTGGCCACATTTCTACCGTTCATTTAAACAATTGATATCAGTTGATACTGGAACTCATCACTTTTCGGTTTCTGCTGACGAATGCATCACCTTTCACTGAACGGTTCGTTCATGAATAATTAGTTGTCCATTCGGTAACACCCCGACGCTTACATTCGATACTAAAGGCCCCCGACATTTAATTCTGTACTAAATCTCCCCGACGATTACATTCGGTGCTAAAGCCCCCCCGACAATTACGTTTTGTACTAAAACCTCCCGACAATTACTTTCTGTACTAAAACCTCCCGACAATTACTTTCTGTACTCAAACCTCCCGACAATTACTTGCTGTACTAAAACCTCTCGAAAATTACTTTCTGTACTAAAACCTCCCGACAATTACATTCTGTACTAAAGCCTCCCGACAATTACATTCTGCACTAAACCCTCCTGACAATTACATTCTGCACTAGGACCCCCCAACGTGACCTCTTCCCACAGTGCCGCATAAAAAAAAAGAACCCTTAGCATAAAAAAAAAGAAACCATTAGCATAAAAAAAGAAACCAGGAGCATAAAAGAAAGAACTGCAAGCACAACAGAAAAAACCATTAGCATAAAAAAGCACTATAAGCATAAAAAAAAGAAACCCATACCCCAAAAGCACACCAACCCCGCTGTGAGCATAAGAAAAAAACCATTAGCATTAAAAAAACACCCAGCCCATATTTAAAACGCCTTATATAAAAGCTGTCATTTCAATAGCAGTCCTCTAGATCTTTGTGAATGATCACTTTTTACAATAAAAACAATACAATATATATATATATATAAGATTTTTTATATTTCAAAAGGTGTCCTATAGATTCGTGGGAATAATATGTTCTATAGTTAAAGAGCTTCTATTTCAGAAGCTTTCCACTAGATATCTGGGAATGATGATTTCTATATTGAAACGCCTTCTATAAATGCTTTCATTTTTAAAGCTTTCCTCTGGATCTCTAGGAAAGTAGATTTCACAGATATGTGTGTTTTCTTTCTCTTTGTTAAACATGTTTGCAGTATCAGATATTTGTGGAAAACCAAAACGCAGGCCCCATGGCGTGCCGCTCTCAAAATAAAGAAACTAGCACGGGGTTTCTTACTTTACTTTCTCATCTCAAAACTGGGAAACCAACTTCGATCTACATCGTTCCCTGGGTCCTTTGCTTCATCATCTGCACAGCCTGAGAAGACCGGTGGCCTGGGGCACTAGGGCGAAGGAGGCATCACTGCGCAGGTTCGTCGGAGTTTTGGCTTTTAGCCAGTTCAAAGATCAGTGGTGGCGCGCAATGCGCCGGAAAAAACATGGTCTTGGCCATGAGCCCTTTGAGAGAAAAGCAAGTCGAGGTCAAGGAATCATGAGGAAGAAGTACAACTATCGCATAGATCGCTCTTGACATTTGTCCCCTCGCACAACATACTGTATGAAACCTGCCCCAAAAAGAATCCAAACAGACCACCTGACGTGTTTCGATGATGTCCATGCTTGTTCTCTAGTTCGGGGGAGCCAAAGAAAGGCCCCCTTGAGTACCCCCAGCTCAACGGCGGGGATCTGTTGTATATGCATTGATTGGAACGAGTGATCAGCTCTCAGCCATGCTCGGCCTACCTTCTCTCGCGCTCTTTTGCGATCCAGCTACTGCACCACAAAGCACAGCGACTGGCCAAGGTGCAGGCTTCCAGAACAAGGACTGGCCAATCTGCCATCCCCCAGAATCTTGGGGGCCTCAAATCTATCAGCCTGCACTGTCCCTGTGCACCTGAGATCTGTGTGTGGGGCCGCGTTTTCAGCTGCACTGCAGCGCGCCAAGCGCCATCGTGCTCGGTCTGGTTCTCCCCGAAGAGATGGAAGAAGCCCCATCAATTCCCAAGGGGGCAGTCAATACGCCCAGCTTCAAACCATTGGTCTGTCAAAAGAAAATATTTGATTATTTTACAATGATGCAGTAATCCCACACCAAGAAATTGTTTTCTAAGTTGCTTCTCTGCACCAGCCGGGTTATTCTAGTCCGGTGACGCCGGGCCATTCCAGGCCGTTTCATTTGCAACTCTCAGCAACACATGAGGTACGTACGAGGTGTGCGGCTACCTGCATCGTTTTTTGGTGAGTTCTCTATCTGTTGTCAAGGTTTCGAGTATTCCAGCAGCTGAATGAAACGATATACAATTGTATACAAGTAATTGTCTATATGCATTGCGAATGTTGAAGGCAATTATAACATATAAAGTATACAGTATACTCATACTATTTCTCTTCTGCACTACTTGACTCTGAGCTGATTACTTGCAATCGCTTGGGCGTAGTCAGGGCGTTCGAATCCCTGCCATGCTTGGAGACCCCGATTCCCCTGTCTTCCAAGTTCTGGGGCTAGCTGATGATGATCATGATTCCTAATGGAGCATCCACTTCCCAAATGTTCCCAGTAGGCAACCACCGGCCCGGAGGACTAAAATATGGGCAAATGATGGCAGACACGGAGGCTATGGATCCAATCCTATCAAACGTATCAAAGTCACTAGGATTCTCCTCTCCCTGTGAGTCTTCAATGGCTGAAGATCATAACTTAGACTCGTATTAAAAGGCTAGGGTTCCGGATAGGACGGCAGCCACTTCAGTCCTATCACTTCGAAGAAGTGGGCCAAGGATTGAAAAGAAACTCCATTAGTTTCACCGGAAAATAACGGTTTTGCTTTTTCCAGCTGCTTGTTCTTGGTGGCTTGTCAATCCGAACTTCAAAAACACACAACATGTAGAAAATGGGCATCAAAACACCCCAATTATACCAAATACAAACATATATATATACTGTAATCATCTGTAATCCATAATAACAACCCCCCCGTGCTCCGGCGCCTTCAACCCCCCGCAGTTCTCACAGCGAGTTCTCGCTCGTTGCTTCACCGGCCGCAGGGATGGGCCGTCCCACCGCGCGCGCCGCAACGGCCAAAAGCTCAGCTTTAAAGGCGTTGGAGACATTGCGGCTTGACCTAATGAGGTCCAGCAAGCGCCCCAGGGTGAGCCTCAAGTCGTCTAGGGCCAGGGACGGTGTCACGTACGGATGATTTCAGAACGCCGGAAATCATGGTCCAAATACTTTCCTGGTGACCTCAGGGCCGTAACCTCTCACATTGCAGGTCCACGTTGGGCGGACATTCATGTACAGCACAGCACCACCAGGTATATCATGGGGTTCTTCGTTTCCCTTTAAATTCTCCGATCAAAACCTCTGCACCGGTCACGTCCAACGGCGTGCCACCGTACCCAGCGATCGTTCAGCGCCCCAGCTCGACCGATCGGAAGAGGGAACCGAGCTGCGAACGGTGGGGGTGCCAGCGCTGGTACCACTCGTGTACCGAGTGTCGCGAAGCCAATCTTTCAGTGGTCTTGAGGACTGTTCTCTGTGCATGTAGCTTTCTCGGGGACTGACCCTGGTTCTTGACAGCATCTGCACCCCATCCCTGGTTGAATTCTTGTAGAGGTACGATACCCTGCCCGTACATGCCCAACGCTCTGGGCCCCCCTCCGATGTGTTGCAGAAACCGGAGAGGACCCACGAAAGTTATTTGATTTGCTCATGAAGTCTTGTGCGAAACAAAAACCTGACACGTCGAACAAACACATAAAACCAAGCAGCAACCACGAACAGAAGGAAAAGAAGGAAGGAGAACCACCAACGGGTCACCAGCTGTCAAAGAAGTCAACCTCCCTATCAGTGCTACCCAAAGCCATGGAGAACAAACAAAAAGGCCATCCGAAGACCTAAGCCTTCTGGTCTGTGAAACTCTAAAAAGCGGCAGCTCAGCCTGTTGAAGGCAGAACCCCTTCATAGCTGGGCCGCTTCTTGAAGATCGTTGACAAAATTGCCACCATCTCCTCAGAAAGGGCACGGATCTGAGGAATCGTTGGCTCGCCTGAAATGAAACATGCCACTACTCCGAGTTGTGGGCAAATATGTTGTTTCCCCAAGGTAAATATGCCAGTCCCATGGAGTACTGGTACCAGATGGTGCAGGTCCTCGAACTCTTTGTGGCGGCATCCCAGATCTGCTCAAAGAAACACTTCTAAACTCGGAAATCTAGAATAATCATAACATCTTTGTCCCAGCTATGGTCAGCTCATGGTCGTGAGGTCATCAACTTATAGGAAGAAATCGTCTTGAATAATCATTTCATGATCCAGCCCTCCCAACACATTCATCCACTTCTGCAACGAAAAGTGGGTCGCTGGGGAGCACGGAAGAAAGGGCCGCAACGGGGTCATCTTCCTCAGGGTCTTCTTCAGTTCGTCTTCGCCTTTTAAAAAGGGTCACGGCCTGGCCGGGCGTTTGGGGACTGGCCTTTAGGTTTAGGGACGGGCGTTTAGGGACTCCAAAAAGGTCACGAACTGAAGAAGATCGGGTAAGATCATCGATCTTCACATCTTTTCACCAACCAGTGGCAGGGATGGGATTTGGGCCTTATTTTCCCATCTTTCCCAAAGTCAAGACCACCAGTTGTCAGGAATATGGTCCAAATCTCTTGCTCCCTCTCCATACCTTCTGCCCAAACAGCTTGAAAATCCAAGCGGCAGGTGTCACATGCGCGTGCTTTGGAAGTGCCTTCAAACGCCTGCGCATGCAGGCCAAGACCAGGCTCATCTGTGCGGTGAGATTTTGCTTCCGGCATCGCATCTCCATGTGGTTGAGCAGCATTGACAGTGTCTGCAGCGGCATGGCGGCCAATCGTGTCCAGAAATCAGAGCAATGTTTGGAACATATATAACATCAATGTGTTACTGTTTAAATGTTCACACAAAAAGGAGAGAGAGAGAGAGAGAGAAGGGGGATAGACTGAGTGACGCTTCAGACTGAATCAGAAGAGTAGAATATAGTAGAATCAACGGAACATTGTGATCACATGAATCAAATGTCTTATTTAAGATCTATTAAGGTTTTAGCCCAGGTGGCACATGTCTTGGAATCACAAAAATTTATCACAGGTCGGTAGCCTTTTACCGCAGTCTTACATCCAAAAGATGTACAGTATCCCTCCTCACCTAAACATAACAACACCCGAGGGAGGTGACACAGGATGACACATGACAAAGCTTCACTTATATAATGTGCTTATTTATTTTTATCCTTGTCTCTCAACCAACTCTCTCATGTTTGTTGGGCGTTCAACCCACTCCCAGAGAATTCAGTGGATGATATAAGGCTAATGGGAAGATGGAGAAAGGTGACTTTAACTCAAAACGTGCCAAATGGATAATGGGGTGATGCATTTGGAGTTCAATTCGGGTACCAGTGCATGCGCCTTCAGTCCAAAGTCATTCGATTGTGCGTGGGATAATCCGCTTGCAGGAGGCAACCGAACATGGGGAACAACTCTCAGGTTAGCTTCGACCAGGGCGAAGGTGACTTCCAGAAGGGCTCCGTCTCTACGTCTCCGTTCCCAGGTTCAGTGGCAGTGGATGGGTAGCAAGGAATGAACATGGAATGAACTGTCCTGGTTCTTCAGTTCGTGACCGAGCTTGATTTGCTGGAACGGAGGTCACCAACAGGCCTGGGACTCCAAAAAGATCACGAACTGAAGAAGATGGTGTGGTGGATCCTGAAAAGGAATTCATTCGTGTCCGCTTTCTTTGCCAAACGTTCAACCCTTCACCAACGCCCTCCCCTTCACCGGCTATCCTGCTATCGCCACGTGCGCCACGTGCGTGGTCCAAGAAAGGGCCCCACCTGCGCCTCGGACAAGGACTCGAAGCACAGCCGCTGTGTTTTGTCCAGCTTCTTCTTGGTGGTGTCCTCTGCTTCAGAAAAGCACGGAAAGCCCGCGGGCTTTTGTGGTGTTTGCTGGTGCGGGAATCGACGATTGGACCGAAGAAAACCTGGACTTGGCTGAAACGGGCCAAAGGCTTATGACAAGCTGATCCCGCCAAAAACTCTATGTTGATGTTTTGTCTAGTTGAAGAGTCCAGTTGAATAGGTATCTTTGATACATGGAGTGGCGGAGAGTGCTCCAACTCCGCCAAGTCTCGTGCTCCAAGTGGCAGAACTGGCAGTTCACACCCTGCAATGGCAAGGAATCAACAAGCAATGGCAAGCTCCATGAACACTTTGGCCAGCTTTCTTGCCAACTTTGGACTGCATTAAACCAATACAATATGTATATATATATATACATGAGTTATCCTGAGTATATTATAATATATATATATATATTGTTTTATGTATATGTAATTCAAATATTATTCAATTTTTACACAACCGCTTGAGGATCCATGCTGGCGGCCTGGCATTCACCATGGCTATGCCAAACACAAAAAAATTCCGCCTTCTGGCAGTTCCCGTAAAAGAATCCTGAGCACAGTGTGGACAGGGACTGGCAGCTCGTGGCCACCTTGTTTTGGATGGTAGCTCGCTAGCTCTCTACATCTCGCTTCATCTAGAAGGGAACACCTATAGGCCTTGAGATGCCGGCGCCAAGGCTAAGGTTCCTAGCCTCGAACACTGATTTCGAGGTCTCTAGCCACACAGCCCAGCCAACCAGTGGGTCGTGATGGAATGCTCAACCTGAATTCTGGGGGAAGTCCCACCTAGAGGTTCGCCTGCCTTTTCTGGAAACCTGAGAGAGAGCTTGCATGGAAGCCTCCATAGCATTGCACCTTTTCCACCGAAACGCAGGGGTGTGGACCCGAAGCCTTCCCATTTGTTGATCTCGCCCATATTGTACTGCACTCTCCCGGATTCCCATGCAGTCAAAGCCACGGATGCAGGGATTGCCGCAAATCTCAGGATGCCCGTGGCTACCCAGAGTCTCCGTTTGAGTCACAGGCCAAGAGAAGGTTTCGGCTGCTCGAGCCAACAACGAAGTGGCCTTGGGAATGGAGCGAAGAAAACAATACTATAGGTAGGTCTGCTGAATCCGTCTGTCCCCAGTAGGGTAGTCCCAGGACACCCTCTGGACGGTGCAGTGTCAATCTGAGCTGGTGGAAACTGGTCACACATCGCTGGTTGATGCGTTTCGGATCCCGTAATTTCCCCAATGTCTTCTAAAAGTCCATGTGACGGGCACGTGGATCTACTTTTGCTCTCTCGAATGAATGAGTGAATGAATGAATGAATGAATGAGCAAACGAATGAATGAATCCCACAAGAGTCCCAAAGCCAGGTGACAGCATTCTATCGATGATTAACGTCGAAACCTGGTTTTCTGAGTAGAACCCTCTGTGCATTGCGTTCTCTGGGGCCCGGAGAATCATCAAGGAGTCTCGCTCAGAACCCTTCACTTTTCAAGGACCAAGTTTACCTCTAGAACACCCTTGAAGTTGATATGTTCGCGTGGCGCCTGTGGGACTCTACAGTCCTTCAGGGGGAAGACTGCACGCAGAACAACCCCAGCTTCTTATCGAAAATAGACAAACGCATCCAGCACCAGCATTCCTTGCTGAACCTCCCTGTCAAAGCATCTCAAAGCTGCATTGCTTTGGCAAAAACAAATGCTCCTGTTATATTCCCTTTTCCGGATTTGCCACGGTTTTAGTGCTGAGACCATCTACCTTCGAACGAGGCACATAGTCAGCCCTGTGCTTCTCGAGATCCTCGTGCCTCATCATGGTCGTCTTGGCTCGAGGTGGAACGCTCAGGCTGCGATGTGAGTCTTCCTGCACCAGCGAGCCGGTGGGGAGACAAATTCTAGAAACAACGTGCAAGCAGGTACCCAAAGGTGCGCAAGCACAAGTGAGAATGCCAACGGCAAATATTGCAAACACTTTCAGAGTCTTATGATTCTGTATGATTCAGTTTAAGTGTTCATTCAACCAGTTTAAGGTGCTTGCCATGATTCTCAGGTCTCTACACTGTACTTACTTGTGGGTCCTATCTTTTTGTTGAGATCAAAGCCTTCGAAGCTAAGTCCAATCACGTGGCGGTGCGTCGGTGGTGGGTGGGTGTGAAAGATGGACTGGTTGATGGACGGAACATGATGGAATTTTCCTCTTGAGATCTACGGATCCAAGACTCCCAACAAAAAGGCCACCGATATATGGTGATCTCCCAAACGAGGAGACCGCAACAGAGTGTCACTCTTCAAGCCTCGAAGGTACACAGCATGAGGATCCACTCTTTGCACTGCAGGATCCTATTAAACCTCGGTCACCCCAGTTCTCCAGTACAGTACACCCCGAGTAGCCAGTACACCCCCAACCCTGTGAACGCCTGAGAGATGTTCATGTCCAGGAAGGTCTTCTGGTAGCTCAAGGTCTCCATTCTAAAAAGTTAGGTTCGGGCAGAACGTCCAAATTTGCTGGAACGTACCCCTCTAGGCATAAGCAGAAAAGCTGCAGACCAGCCAGGTACTTTTCTGCAATCATGTGCAATCAGTAGAAATGACTGGTCATGTCAAATCTGTTCAAGTGAATTCCAACCCAGCTCAGGTTGCACCCACCCAACAGCACTAGCTCCAGGTAGACCTGGAGTTGGCAATTGAACCCTCGGGTGGGGATAATTAGCTGTTGAGTCCGGAGGTACCCTGGAAAGACTCTTGGCTCAGTTCCCAAAGGGTATGTGTAAGGGGCCAAAATGTGCCCAAAGGGCAAAGGGTATGTATAGGTGTTTGCCGACAAATTCCAGAGGGTATGCATTGGCTCTCGGGTTTGCCCCAAATGGTCTTTGAACTGTTGGGCGAGTTCAAACGGGGGAAAGTATGTTGGCCTTTCTAGACTGCCGTCTTCAGACACTGAAACCATGCCAAGGATGCCAAGGAGAAACCACCCATGTTCACTTAGATGCCCTAAGTCCAGTCTATCAAGAAAAACAGAAACATACTAGATAAGCGTCAATAAACACAGAACACATACTATAAAATACTTATAATATATTCTAATACTGCAAAATGTATTTTAAACAATACATCACCTGAAGCCAGGAAATCACCTTCAGCACTCAATTCACCTTCACCTTGATACAAAACATGTGAAACCATGGGGGATTAAATGGATCTGTACAAGAATAAGCATCGAAACCCACCCTTTTGAAGGTCCTCACGAAGAAGAAAAGTAAAAAGACACACAAATAAACAGAAAAAGAACTACCATGAAGTCCCAAGGGAGTGACCCCCACCCACCACCATGTTGCGCAAAGGCGCATAAACAATAACCAACAAGATTGGACGGATTTAGGACAAAGTTGGGTCATTTCAGGAGGGCAGAATCACACACCTGGAGCAAGCTGAACACCTCTGAGTTACAAAGAACAACCCATTTTTGGTGCAATCAAGCTATCAATGATGGTCCATCCCCGGAAGATGAGGTTACTCAAAGATCTATGCTTTGTGTTGTTTAATGGGAGTTCCGGCCTTTTTGTGTCTGGCTGAGGATCTGAGGATCATCTGGAGTCATGTATATAACTTTGAGGCACATGTGGCACCAAACACATCAGGGCAAGCAACGGACATGATTCACTCCCTACCACTTCGGTGTCCCTGATTCATGGGGCTGGGTATGAGTCTTCATTCTGTACATGAAATATTTATTGACATGTCTTGCCTGCAACAACAAGCAATCAAACACAGAAGGATCTGGGTCGCAGGTTCAATGCGTCACAGTGTCATAACATGTCATAAGTGGTTGCGCGGGAGTTGAATTCCCATATCCGAGTTCGCAAACATGTTGCCCCCC